CTCGACTTCAACAATATTCTGTCCGCATACATTCAATTACTCATTACTTCCCCATCGCTTCGTGGCCGGTCTTATATATATATACAAGACTACACTATATCTAGAAGGATCGCGAGATTTAAGGAAAAGACGTGAATGTTCGAGAATGACGTGGCGTGATACTAGTCACGTGACCTCGATGTCGTAACAGTATATAAATCCATCTTGACTCAATAAACAACTTTATTCTCGGCATGGAGCGAATGAATAAAAGAGCGTATATTTTGATACAAATATTACTACAAACTAACCTGCCTGGCCCACGGGAACATTTTCCTTCTATGGCCATTTCAAATCCATCGGGATTCATAGATGGCATGATGTGAATCTGGGTGTTATCCAACAACCAACGGGCGTAGTAATCACTATCATAGTTGTTGAGAAGATAACCAGCTAGATGTATCAAGAGTTCTCTTCCAACTGACTGAAGTTGAAATAAATAAAAAATTAACATTCAACTGGCGTTTGTGTAGATACGCAAAGTTGAAATTCAGTTTTCAATAACAACGATTTATTGTAAACAATTATAAAAATGAGACTGTTCCCATTGTCAAAAATACAAAAAAATATTAAGTAACTTACTCTACTGGATAAAAGAAAAAACCCCGATGAGACTTGGAAACAGTATCATACTTTCAACATGTTTCGACATGTTTACTGCGTCATCATCTTCAGAGTGCATTGAATTTCAACTTAAAGAAACGTTTAAGACTTCCAAACAAAATATAATTTCTAAAGCGTTATTTCAAACAGACTTTAGGTTTAGATTCGTGAATCAAAAGTTTTAGTTATTATCAAAATACTTTAAGTTTTACTCAAAATACTCTAGACATCATTAATGAATATCAAATTTTTCAACAATTTAAATTACTTTGAGCTATATTCCAAAAATGCTCTAGACATCATTAATGAATGTAAAATTTTCCAATAATTTAAGTTACTTTTAGCTATATTCCAAAAATGCTCTAGGCATCATTAATGAATGTAAAATTTTCCAACAATTTAAATTACTTTTAGCTATATTCCAAAAATGCTCTAGACATCCTTAATGAATGTAAAATTTTTCAACAATTTAAATTCTTTTACTTTCATTCTAAAAATGTTCTAAGCTGTTAAAGCAGTAATTCTGGGGAGAATTCATCGTGTAATTTACCACACAAATACAGGCTGCAAATGTTGTCTACCAGAACGTTATGACAACTTTATATTTAATTATCTCGCAGCTAAGAAGAACAAAAATCTCATCGGACTCTGGTATGGTAAAAAAAAAAAAAAACACTGTCCGTTTACGGGCGTGACACGCAATTCAAATTCAATAATTTTAAATAAAATTTCAAGTAGAAACTCAATGGACAACCTTATAAAAATAAGCACAGTACAGTTTAATATCCAAAATTTCGAACTGAAATTCTATGTATAATCCTATACACATAAGCAGAATGTATTTAATGTCCAAATTTTCAATCTGAAACTATGTGGATAACTGTATGGACATAAACACAAATAAATAGTGATTTTTTTTCTTCTTCTCACTAAAATATATAATTTCCGTGAAGAAAAGAAAGAATCCATAAATGAAGTAGAAGCCTAATCCTTCATCATAAGCACAAGTAGTTTAACATCCGAAAAGAAATAATTTAGATAATCCTATTAACACAAGCACAATGTATTTAATATTCATAATTCATTTTATCATTTAAACAATTTCCATAATAATTTGGTTATCGAATATGAACCATTTAAAACAAACAGAGCAGTCATTATGCCCAATCCTCGTGTATTTGTTATAAGCAAAAACAATATTGAATATCGTGTTGAATTCAATAACTATTTCACCAACTTTTTAAATTAAATTCACTGAAATTTAGTAGTTCTTTACTTGTTAAATATCCCAGTGAAAACTTTAACTGCTAAAAAATTTACATTAGTTTCATTCGTAAAATCAAATAATGACATCGCACATAAAAGTTTCTTTGTATCTTAACAGATGACGTTAGTAACCCTATTAAAATCAAAGACTCAAAAATGAATTGTTATAGATGCAAGCAAAGTCTCTGTATAAATCTTAAAATCTTCAACTTCATCCAGTGGATATTTTTATGCATTGAATATTTGGAAACATAGAATGAATGTTCTGCCCATCTGAGCGAACATAGTCCAACAAACGCTCACTTTAAGTGTATAAAATTGATGGACCAGAAGTGTTTTTTATATAGATTAAATTGTTAAATGAAATATATATATATTTACTACAATTGGTTATCGAAAATTATAGAAAGTCAGATGTGCATGTAATTTAAGTATATTCAAGCCATAATGATTGTAACCAAAACTGATGGACAATTATATATTTATAAAATTAACTTTTTAATACACAAGTTCAGGCTCTTTTAGATTAACATTCCAACGTTGGGAGTCTTGTATTAAACATATGACTTGGAAGTAGCTCCTGTTTTATTTTATCTATTGTATTTTCCATAAAATAGTAATTACAATAATAGCGTTGAAGAATGGCATAATTAATTTACGATCTTATCAAACACTCATATACTACCTTACCTCATCCGCGTGCATATTGGCAATATACTTGACATTGGGCTTCAACAGAGGTCTCTCATTAGGAGTCGACGACAAAAGTATAACCCATAATTCTCGTCCTGTAACATTACAGAAAAAAAAAATGTTAATCTCATATAAGACTTGTTCATTACTTTTTCATAGCATCTTTCAGAGTACATTTATATACACAAAATTGTTTAGTTCAGCAATAATTATTTCACTTAAAACAACATGTTAATACAAACCGTTAATAATTTATTTATTGTGATAAATTGTAACTCCCACCCCATCCCTTCGATGGGTGAGTCCGCTAAAATCCGGGATTAGATTCCGTGTACTAGGTAGAGCACAGATAATCCATTGTCTAACGTTGTACTCAAAGAAACAAACTCCCGTCCCTTTGATGCACCCAGCATGGCCAGGTGGTTACGGAGCTCGACTCGCAATCTGCGGGTCGCGGGTTCGAATCCCCATCACACTAAACATGCTCGCCCTTTCAGTCGTGGGGGCATTATAATGTGACGGTCAATCCCACTATTCGTTGATAAAAGAGTAACCCAAGAGTTGGCGGTGGGTGTTGATGATTAGCTGCCTTTCCTCTCGTCTTTCACTGCTAAATTAGGGACGGCTAGCGCAGATAGCCCTCATGTAACTTTGAGCGAAACTCATAACGAACAAACAAAATTATTCGATGACATGAACATCATAAAAAAAAACGTTTTCAAAATACGCACATATCCCTGGAATTGGTTTCGAAAGTAACATTTCTTGGGCACTATTAGTTTAGGGTGATATTTTAGATAACACGTTAAGGCACTTCATTATGGCTTCAAATCTCATCACAGTTTCCCAGGTTATATTTCCACATGTTAAAACTAATCCATATAAAGAACTATTATCATAATTTTTCGTGAAAAATATACTGCAATATGTTCAATAAACAAAATAAGAGTTGTAAATACAAAGTAGGGTGTTTTAAAATATACCTGATTTTTGAATAATAAATATCATTATAAGTCATAAAAAACTCAAGAATGAAATATGTTACACAACTTTTAAAGGATATGGTTTAAATAAAATAATAACTGTACAAGTATCTTAGCAAATATAATTCTTTATCTCTGGAATATCTTGGGAACAAATCTGGAATTTATACTAATTCATTCTTTTTTATAAAAGCATACATTGCGTCATAGTTCACGCTTACATCTGTAAATAACAATTATATATATTATATAAATCCTAAAATGGCACTTTATATAGAATTTCGCGACTCGGGGGAGGAGTAAAGAGAAAAGTCACCTGATCATCTCTACAAAAAAGGTTCAACGACCTAGCATGTTTGATGACGAGTTTAGTAATTCGTTGCCAATTAAATGAAAGAGACAAGTGTGAGAATAAGCGCAGACAAACAGTTATTAATAAAAGCAGAATGCCGTCAGAAACAAATGCCCATGTGACAAGTGGTAGAAATTATTGAACATAAGCTGCCTGGGACCAAAATCAAATGAAATATTTATGTAATGGAAATAAAGCTATGCTTTTAACCAAGCTAAAGCTGAATATATTATTGAATTGAAATTTTGCAAGTATTTTGCTCACGTCAGCAGTCTGAACATTACTTCTAAAAATACAGACAAGATTTCATTCTAATTCTGTAAGAGCTGTAATCGGATTGTCTCCAAAAGTGCTAATACTACTTTCTCAATTCACATAATCTCTATGGAGATACAAGATGCCTTCTGGTTGTTCATGACACCATTATGGTAAGTACAGTTTATCTATGTACGATTATGGAATATTGTTCCAAATGTCATGTATTGACTCACACAATTCGGCCCTTTTGACCTTCTAAGTTTTTATTTACAAAAGCCCATATAGCCTTAAGAAGTTCATATAAGGACTTTGTGTAGGCCAAGTCATGGTTATCAGTGTTCCATTGGTGTTTTTACCAATTTGATGTTCCTGACGAAACGATCAATCAGAAGTTGCATTATTTTTCACTAGTCTGGATACAATCAACTGTGTGATGCATTCCCAAACTGATACTGATCCTCCACCATTCCTCTCTATCATAACAAATTTATCGTTTTCTATAGTTTGATACACAGGTTTATCATTGTACCATTGTCGTCTGAAGATTATGAATCTGAATGAAAACAGTAAAATAAATTGCTGTCAATAATATTAGTGTAAAACATTAAAGGTTATTAAATTAAATCAATATACCCACATACTACAGCAAATTACAACAAAAACAGAAAATAGTGGTATAGGCCATCGAGTAGCCTTGCGCGAAATTCGATAAGCAAACAATCTACTGTCTAAACAATTGAACAAAATGTTATTGTTACGTCTCTGGTCGTTTGTTAATTTTCGGTATAAATTCTTCTCGAGAAACTTCAGCGATACAAGTCCTTTCTTAAATAAAACTAGTTTATTCTTTCTCAATACAACTTTGCAATACACAGAATTTCCACAGTCACTTTAATTTAAACACACGCTATAATTCACTACGATTCACGCACTTTATTTACGGTCACTACCGCTCGCTTGACTCAATCATCTCTCTCTATATCTCTCTATCTGCTATCTATCTCCGCTTTATTTGCCGGGCTTATATACAATAAAAGAGGGCGCCTAGAACAGACTAGAGTTGGCAGGAATAGTTAAGATCTTTCGAGAATCTCATGACGTGTTACCAGCGTTACGTAACTTCCGCTGTCGTAACACTAGAAACCATGGTAATAATAAATTAAATATTTGTGAAACGTGCAACTGTTTTTGTTTTCCTCAACTTTGTACTTATGGAATTTCACCAAGCATCGAGTGTTTCAAACATTTCATACTTGAATAAGGAAGCAAATTATGCCAATATAATAACAGGTAGACCAATAACGATTTAGAAGCATAAGGAAAAGTTTTATTAATGGTGGAACATACTACATGTTTCGACAGAACATTGGCCTGTCTTCTTGCTTGAAGAAGACAGACTAACGTTCTGTTGAAGCATGTAGTATGTTCCACCATCAATAAAACTCTACCTTGTGCTTATAAATTGTTGTATGCTTAGCCATGATTACGTACTTCGTACTTTTTTCTTCCAAAACCTTAAACGTTATCAGTTAAAAGGCTTGTTAGTAGTTGTGATCGTGCTAGCTTTGTTTTTTGTTGTTGTTGTTGTTGTTGTTTTTTTGCCTACTTGACGGAAGTGTTCAAGTCCACGTGCGTAATAAATCTACATCCTGATCAGTCACAGTAATATTTCCCACCCTTCATATTAGTCATAAAATAGCCTCACACACACGGAGCGATTTTAGTTACGTAAAATAAGAATGGACCAGCCTAAAAAATTCAGAATCTGAGAAGGAAGATTAGAATAATTTATTTTTTGCAATACCCATTCTCGGCAAATGTTCTGTATCCGAACATTATTTGTAATCATTGTGCTTGATGTTCGTTTTCCTTTTTTTTGTTACCTTCACCTTTTATGGATGTTGTATGGCTATTGAACTCATTTGATTCTTGTTCTTTTGTAGCGTTACGTGTGTGTGTGTGTTTAAGGGCTAAGTTTCGATGTGCCAGAATTTCGTACTGGGACGAAATTTCTACTTGTATTGTAATGATATTGTGATGATATTGTGATTGATTTTTTTGTCTTAGTTCCACCTTTACTTTACTTCACGGGTATCGTTGAAGAAGTAAATGTACCTGTACATTTCACAAATATTTCATTTATTACTGTCATTGTTTCAGCCGTACAAGTATCGTCAGATATAACTATAATGATCGTCAAGCCGCTATCAAACATTCGAGGATAGACCATGGCCAGGTGGTTAAGGAGCTCGACTCGTAATCTGCGGGTCGCGGGTTCGAATCCCCGTCCCACCAAACATGCTCGCCCTTTCAGCCGTGGGGGCGTTAAAATGTGACGGTCAATCCCACTATTCGTTGGTAAAAGATTAGCCAAAGAGTTGGCGGTGGGTGGTGATGACTAGCTGCCTTCCCTCTAGTCTTACACTGCTAAATTAGGGACGGCTTGCGCAGATAGCCCTCGTGTAGCTATGCCCGAAATTCAAACAAACGAGGGTAGACTAGACTAGAAGTTTCCAAACTATAAAGATGTATGTTGCTTCAGTAGCTCTAGTAGAAGAAATGACACCCATTAGAACTCATGAAACAACAATAAATTGTGAAGCTAAGGATCTCACAATTGGCTCCAAAAATTCAAATGTTTGTGTTTTTAATGATTTGGAATGTTGTGCTTTCTCAAGTGAGCATAAGGAGTGAAACACAAGACAGCTCTTGCACTTCTGATCTGTGATTCCTGTTGTAAACATAATAAAATTTTCTTGGAAAATGCTTTCTCTGATGAGAGATTTGCGAGGACTCTGACAAAGTCAAAAGCACTTGTGGAAGAGATGGAGATTAATGCACATTTCTAACCAGCGACAGAAAATCATATAAAAATGTTTAAATAGTAGGGAGGAGATAAACCCAGTGCAAGAGTTTTGTGTTTTTTTTTTCTGTATCATTCTTTACACCTCCCCTCAGTCTTACAAGAAATATTCGTTAAATTAAAACAGCACAGTGAGTTTTTTCTATTCCTCTATTATATATTGAAAGTAACAAATGAGAGTTCACATGACATCAAAAAGCACCGCATGGCCTTTGAAATTACTCTTATAGATTAACAATCTGAATCCAATGTAGTCTTTAATATATTTAGCATTAAGGGAATCTAATGAAGTGATAGCCCATTCAATCTCAAATTAAAATACTTTGATGAAATTAGATCATTAGTAAATCGTTAGAGGTACTTAACTTGCAAAAGTATTCAAAACATCTAAATGTTATATCTATAGTAAGCATCAATATCAAGTTTTGATAAAGCTTCGGCCAAACTGGGGCTTTTCATGACGTTGGTCTGTTGTGTTATATACTAGTTAGAATTAAGTTACAACTGTTTACCTTATGTGGTTTTACTTGTCTGAATGTTTCAAATTTTATACGAAAAAACATATTCTCACTAAGTTTACCGCAAGCTTTATTTGTGCCATTAAAGAAGATCTCATTGTCATCAGTAAGATTTACTATTAAGATTTGTTTTCGCAATAGTTACATGTTACTGTTTTATTAGAAATAGCAAAGAATTTTATACAAATAACAGTAATAAAGCATCACTTAAGGTTATGCTGTAGAGTACTTAATCTTGCAAAGCATGAGAATTTCAAAGCTCAGGTCTCACATAAAACTTCGAAGGTTACAGATATTTTCAAGCACATGATGATTCTCTTCAGACCCACTAGAAATGTCTGGAAAAAAGTTTGTGGATATTAAATCTTGTGTTTCTTTAAAGGAAACTCCACAATGGACTGTCTGCTGTGTCTACCGCGGGGAATTGAACCTGGATTTTAGCGTTGGAAGTCCGCTGTCTCACCGGGGCAAATATTATGTTATCTATATTTCATTACAAAAGTAACAAAGTTAACCTTCTCAGCAAAGGTTAGTGGACAGAAACAGTAGGAGATTCCATGAATCTTAGCACTGGTACTTATTATGGCTTCCTAGAAAAAACAATGTCTACAAATATCATGCTAACCATCCTTTATTAACAACAACAACAGAAGGATGTTGGTCGCTGCTAAATGTAATGGGGGAAAGGATAAATTCTCCAAAAACTGGTGAGTTTAACTCAAAACAAAAGAATCTGTGAAAAACTTAACATGTTAGTTTCAAACGCTCTTCATTTTCTGAAAAGTGATAAGAATTCTTAATAGAGATACCAGTCATAAGTGAATATTATCAGGAGTGAATAAATTTGTAAGACGTAGAATATAAAATATAAATAGGGCAACATTGTACAATAAACTTTATTTAAAAATATAGACAAAACAACGTTTACATTATAGAATAAAATTTTAAAAAATTAAAAATGACTCTACATGTTTCGGTAGCTTCCGCTACCATCATCATGAAGCTACCGAAACATGTAGAGACATTTTTAATTTTTTAAAAATTTTATTCTATAATGTAAACGTTGTTTTGTCTATATTTTTAAATAAAGTTTGTAAGACGTGCTTAAAATAATTAAGAGTCGAAAAGGATCTTTCTAGAATTTCTATATTAGGTACTTTATTATCGAGAAAAAAATTGTATTGTTTGTCTCTATATAATCTAATTTACAACAGGAGTTTTAATATACCTTCGACCGAACGTCCAATAGAATAAAGCTTGGCCATCTTTGGAAATGTTTTGGTCATTTTCATTAATAAAGTAGTCATGTCATCGTAGCGGTGATATTTGTAGTCCACTTGAACCCGGTGTAGTTCTGATACCTCACATATCAATACGATGGCAGAAAATATTAAAAACTTGATTGACCAGTTTATGTCTTCCATCCGGCTTCACTAGCTAGAATAAATAACGTGTGTCAGAAAATTAATGAAAACCAAGACAAACAATATTCCATATGTAACATGTCCTTTATTAGAAACATTGCTTATTCTTGAAGTATTTAATATTAACTTCCGATCAGAGCAAGCTTCCTAGTTAGTTATGTAACATTACCCGAGTAATCTTCAAAACCATCCACATATACAAAATAACAACAGAACAAGAAAGTTATTAAAAAATTACATTAAATAAAACAGAATGTATTTACTAAATAATGAGGTAGAGAACAATAGCTTCTGAAATTACACCCAAAAATGCTTCAAATAAAATTAGCTTATTCGTTCTAAAATTCACAATTTTTCTTGCCTTTTAGGCTCAACTATACATAAGCTAAAATTATGTAATTTACCTTAAGTAAATTATTGGTTTTATTCATTAGGTTAAATCATTGGAAAGATCTATCGAATCACCAGGTTTATAGCTTGGTGCGTACTTCCGAATCAACAGTTTTCCTACGACATTTCAGCACTCTTGCGATTGTCTATCAGGTACAGAGACACCTGTTGAGGCAACCGCAAGAATGCTGAAACGTCGTAACTTCAACTCTTTCCAAGCAGAATGTTCATTTATATAGTGTCATCATTACTTTTGAACTGACAGGCTAGAAAGAAAGCAGCTAATCAACAGCAATTAGACAACTCTTAGGCTACTCTTGTCTGACCGAATAATGGGATTTGACCGTTACTCTTATAGTGCACTGACAACTTCAAAGTGAGGAGCGCGTTTTGGGGCAACAGAGGTCAAACACTAAATATTTCTGTTCACAATCTAGGCAAGCTAACCACCAGGCTCTAGTAAGGCTACAAGGTGAAAGTTTTTCTTTGTAATTCGAACGAGCTCGCCCTGAAAATAAACCAAATTAATAGCCTATATGTCTCCCTTTAATATACGTATTGAGAGAGTCAGCCATTATGTAGATCTTTTGATCATTTACTTCCTCATTGCAAGATACATTGGTAGATACATATTTTAAATTTTTTGCTTAATTTAAAACTTAGCATCTTACAACCATTGCACCAAAGACGGTGTGGTAATCGAGCCCTAATTGTTTTTAACCTGCTTCGATTAATAAAATTGTTTGTAGGGGGAAGCAGAAGAAGACTAGAGCTATAATTGACTTGCAGGGTTCGAAATAAGAGGATGTTATAAAACGTGCTGTCAGTTTAGCTGCTGGTACCAAGGAAAATTCTCTTTTTGTACTTTTTATAAGAACAAATGATGTTGGAAGCTGTAAACCTGAAGAGCTTCTTGAAAAGGATAAAAATCTTCTTCAAAGGTTTAGTGAAAGATTATCAAAGATTTGATTTTTGACTGGTTTGATCTGAATGAGAGTTTCAGGATAAGTTTGGATTATGTGTTAGAGATGAACTTCATTTAAGCAAGCTGGGTAGCAAGATATTCGAGGAAGCTCTAAAAATTCATTAAAGACAGTCTAAACTGAATTTGCATAATGGTGAGGGATCTTAGGAAACTGGAAATAAAGAAACTGATAGCATAGATAGAACGACTACTAGGAGATTGGGAAAAGATTTAAACAACGGTTTTAACGATATTCTGTCAGATTTAAAGTTAAGCTTAATCGCTACTATTCTAATGTTAGGAACATAACATTTGAAACAAAATGAATGAGTTCAGGGTTCTAGTTTAAACGAAAGACTGTCTTATAATGGTTATATGTGGAGAGCATTCACAAGAGGAATTATTTTGAAATTTCATGTTTCAGTTATTCAATAATGATAGACTGTTTAAGGAGAGGGTAGAGCGGTTCTCTATACAAGGGATGAACTGCAGCCTGTTTGGATTGAAGGCATACAAAATGATAGTCAAGAAGTTGAACCTGTATGTGTTACAGTCAAGATTTTTAGTATAGATATATATTTTTTAAATTTTCTATTACGACAGGTTACCTGATCAGACAAATGAGATCAATGTGAATACTTACAATGAGATCAGTATTGTTACTACTAATAATATTTATGCGATAATCATGGAATACTTTAATTTTAGACACATTGTTTGGAATTTTATAGAATCACAGTCAGCATTTGAAGTGATTCAAAGTGGTTTTCTACACCAAAGAGTCAGAGAACTAACAAGGAGATTATGCAATTTTAGAATTATTGTTAACCACCAATAACGATGAGTTACAAGAAATGAAATAGAGAAACATCTGCGGAAGAATGATCATTGCATAATTAGGTTTGGTGTTTTGCTTCATGTTGAGATAAAGAGAAATGAAAATTTAGTTCCCAGTTATCAGAAAGCCGATAATGTTTGTCATAAACGTGGATTCACTATAGAGAAAAAATCTTCATTTTCAAATCTGTAATTTTTTGAGGGATGTTAAGTATAAAGTGGGCGATGGAAAGGGTGTGATTTGACGTACTTAGAATTTCAAAATGCTTCTGACAAGGTAAAACACAAAAGATTAGCTAATAAATCACATCAGCAGGTTGGGAAAAGACTAGCAAAATGGATTGTGTGACAGCAGGAGAAGTACGTGGACCTTTGCTTTTTTCAGATTTACATTAACGATATTGAAGGGCCATAATTAGCAGTTTGTGGAGAGCATTAAAATCTTGAGTATTTCTAAAATGTTTTTTTTTTTTCTTAAATAAAGCCACATCTGTTGTGCCCATTGCGGAGAATCGACCCCAGGGTGTTTTTAAGCGCTGAAAATCCGTAAATTTACTGCTGACCCACCGGGGAACATTTCTATAATGACTTAAATCAATTAACTAGTTGGACAGTTATTTGGCAGGCATTTAATTATAGTAAGTGCAAGATAATTCATTTGGGTTTTCACAATTTGGATCAAACGTTTGATATAAATAGGAATCCACCCAATAGCGTGATTGGAGAAAAAACTTGGCATATTGGTGGATAAATCACCCATGCAATCGTTGTAGTCCTATGTTGCTAGTAGCAAAGCTAACAGAATTTTCAGGATGTCAAAAGAGACAATTCTTCCTACACAAATCAATACTTAGGCCTCATATGAGATATTGATTTATTGGAAAGGGTTTATGGTGAGGACTAATAGGATAATTCCAGGGGTGGAAATGTATTATTATGGGGAAGGATTTAAGATTTTTTAACTTATTTTCTCTCGAGAAAAAAAAAAAGATAAACGTCTTATTAAATTTTACAAAAGTATCCAGGGTATCGATAGGATAAAAGCCTCTGGTTTTCTATGCTGTATTCTGAATATAATAGGATGACAGGACAGCCTCACTATAAGCAAGGATTATTGAACTGTAGCATATAGTTCAAACAAAACAATAATGATGTATTTTCCTGAGGAAAAAAATATATATCAGTAAACATTATTAGATAGGGAAGGATTTACTTTGATACCCCTTCGCCATATCACAAGTTATCCTTTCGTTTAGTAAGTAAAACGATTTTGTTACATCTTTTATGAGGACAGAAAAACACGTAGGTTTAAGAAGACTTAGAATAACTCTATAAAAATCCTATAACCAGAGAGCTTTCGAAAGGTGGACCTTTCTTCTTCAGGGATAAACTGGAAATGAAGATATTTCCTTACTCTCTTATAGCCTCGGTTAAGCTAAGCTGTAGTTAACTTTAACCTGCTAAAACATAGTGTTTAAACATCGATTACTTATTGATATATTTTTATTAACAAATTTCTATAAGCCTCCTCTGTGCTTTACAAATCATTGAATCTTGCGGTTTCAAAATGCTAGTCTGGATACACTCATAGAAAATTGTCTTTTGATAATGAGTATGAGTGTTGCTTTTAAAAAATGTTAATAATGGCTAATATTTATAAAAAAAAATAATGATTTTATACAGGTAGAAATATTATCAGTTATTTATGAGTTTATGCTCTCAAATAATAATTTATCAAAATATATAACAAAGTATTACCAACTGGTTAGCTGCCGATCGAAATCTAAGGTCCTAACCCGCGATGTGCAAATTTACACGATCACCACATTCAGCTATGGGCAAGTTATAGAAGTGACAATCAATTCCATTATTCGATTAAGAGTAATTATGTATACGTCGGGTTCTGCTGACTGGTTGACATCTCTCTTGGTCAACCGTTCTAAACTAAAGGTGTCTTTACTTGATAATTTAGTTCAGGTATCGTTTAGATTGAAAATACCAAATACCAGTGACAGTATTTCATCTATAAAACCAGTGTCGGTAATTCGAGTTGAATACTTTGGCTTGAGACGTTGCTCTGTTCTCTATGTAAATATGATAATCAGAAACTGACATTGTGCGTTTAAGGCTATTTCAAAGATCAATGTTTGAAAAATTAGACGGAAATAGCGGTTTCCTTTGTTCTTTAGTGCACACAGCTCAAAATATTTATCTTTTACATTTTTAATCCGTTTTTATTGTATTGTTTTTTTCGAAAATATTGTACACGTTAAAAACTGGCATAGTTTTTATTAATGTTATCAAATGCCGAAATATGCTCTTTTATACTTCATTGTTCGGCATATTGTCAAAATAATTTTGCTTAACCAATACTCAATCAGAATCGAAAAATACAATTCACGATTTAAAGGTAAGGTATTTGGCTATATATGGAATAATTACTTGACTGAGATCCGTCAAATTTTAGTTATACTAACTAGCGTGCCCGTTCAACGCGCAGGAAAGACGTAGAGAATCACACCCGAATCCCCCCCCACCCCAGGTCTCTTCCCGGGAGTCCTAAGGTTATATGCCAGGTTTGGTGACAATCGGTGCAGCGCTTCACCAATTATAAGCGGACGCAACGCATGGAGAATACACAGGGCCACCCAGGGTGACAAACTAGTTAGAGCAGAATGCTGACTCCCACTGTGTCACTCCTCAGAGGTCCTAAAGTTACATATCAGGTTCGGTGACAATCGGTGCAGTCTTTGGCCAGTTATAAACAGACACAAACACACAAACTTTTGTCACATACTTGTTTAGATTCTTTAAATCTATGTTGTTGTTTTTTCTTTAGAATTTTTTAGACATATAAGCTAGTTCCAGAATTAATTTGACCCTAACTGTTTTGGTTATTAGTACAACGATTAATTAAAGTCAAATTTTGGGAAATTTTTACACATGCCCTCATTAATTATTCAGAGAGTGAAACATTATTTACTATAAGATCTAAAATGAACTTACTTTATTGTTCCCTTTCGTTTAGATAAGAGTGTACATGTGGAATCGGAGAGTTTTAATGATCGACCTTCGGACTTCAACTGCTGTTTATACAATAACCTAATATCAAAGAAATACAACAGATGTTACGTCAGGCCGGATATTCCTCCAAAAGCTGCTTGATAGAGCGATCACCAAAAAAGCTTACTAATAAATGATTGGTCCATTTCCTTTGAATGCATTTCTGAAAGGAAGTACGTTGGGATTAGCTATTAATTTATCAAGATTAAAAAGGGTTTTAGCAAAAAAGCCTTAACCTTATTTATAGTACGTAAGTAAATGAATCTTATCGCGCCTTCATAGGGCACATAAGGCTGGTGCTTAACTCCGATTTTCTGTAACACAAACGAATAAGAATGGTGACACGTTGTCCCTGAACAGGGTGCCAATACCAGTCCAAAGCACTAACCGTTAGTCCACATTGACTTCCTTATTTATAGCTATATGCCGATAATGTGGAGAACAGTTTGCAGATGTAAATAACAAAACTAGTTAGTTGGCATTATTCCAAGTTCAATAACAATCATATATCTAGCATAGTTCTCGAACACATATGCATTGTATTCGCCAGTCTGTTCTTGCATCTTTCTGTGAATGCATCTTATAACATTTTTGTCTGTAGTTGTACACACATTTGGTGCCACACAAACTACAGAAATATCAATTAAATTAGATATAAAGACTCTGCTCGTAATAAATACTGTTAAGGAGTGTCTGAGCAATAAACTTCACGAAACATTCAAAAGCACAGAATGAGGCAAAAAGTTCAGCAAGTCTTAACTTATGTAATTATTGTTGTTCTTAATTGTGTATCGTTTATCACGCATCTAAAACTTTCCATTAATTTTATTCGTGGTTTCATCATCAAAATCCCTTTCCAGTATTTTCGAAACGATGTGTTGATCGTTAGGTAATCTGTTTGGTTTTAACAGCTTTATAATTAACAACCAAAAAGATAAACTAATGACGACTATTTACATCAAGCAAATATGTCAGTATCTCTGGAAAAACACGTGGCACGCTACTGCTATAAAAACATAAAATATTTCTATATTGACTGAAGTATGAAAGATGTAAAATAAAACTGAGCTTACATATTTACACATAGGTTTTAGTAATCACTATTTTATCGATAAATATTGTAAAGGTGTATTTTGAATAAAAGAAAAATATATATTACATTTCATTTATTTCGTTCAATTCTTAGTTCACGTACATACTGCTTAAATTTCATGTGACGTTTAGATTCGACTTGATCACTAACAGGTGTCTTAATGCAACAACGGAAAGTCTTTTTCAGATTAGATAATCAGATGGAATTTTGATGCTGGAAACCTACAAGTGTTAAAAAGCTGAGGTTGGCATGTTAAGTCACTTGTAGCCTCATAATGTTTCCGAAGATGGATAATGACACATACACAAAACAATCCCCAATTATTCGTGTAAACACAAATTTAGAATTACTATAAATGGTTAATTAGAAACAGTTCCTTTATGCAGTTGACTCACTTCCGTATGTGGTAATTATATGTAAAAGCAATGACGACATCACCCATAGTGTGAGCCAGTTGTCGTTTTGCGGAAGTTTCGAAATAATAGTTTGGTAAGACGAAGATAGAAAAATATCCAGAAACAACATGTAAGCGATATCTTTGTTATACATAACACTTTTAACAATACAATAATTAGAATTTACAACAGGAAATGCTGCTACAGTAGGTGTGCATTTTAGAAAAAAAAAAAACCAAAAAACTATAACTGATTGAAAAGATAGACATTTGAAGAAGTTACAGCAGAATGAAACGTACTATAATTTTACCTAAATGATGGAGGGCTTTAGCAGTGGATATTTACCAAGAGAAACCACAGTATTGTTCACTATGTATACATATGTATCCGTGTGTTCAACGGTAACACAAATAAAACTCTAATAGGAAAGTTATAATGGCTGGTTTATGTCTTAAGACAAGATTGTTTGTTTGTTTTTGAATTTCGCGCAAAGCTACACGAGGGCTATCTGCGCTAGCCGTCCCTAATTTAGCAGTGTAAGACTAGAGGGAAGGCAGCTAGTCATCACCACCCACCGCCAACTCTTGGGTTACTCTTTTACCAACGAATAGTGGGATTGACCGTCACATTTTAACGCCCCCACGGCTGAAAGGGCGAGCATGTTTGGTGGGACGGGGATTCGAA